AGCAATAGCAATACCAGGATCCGACACCGGTAGCTGAAAACAACTTCCAGCATCAGTTCAATCGACCTAAAAGCCTGTTCTTTATCACGCATCCGTCACCTTTTACAACAAATCGAAAGGACATCCATCAACCATGAAAACAATTCTGTATCTTGTTGGTATTATTATCAGTGCATTGGCACTTCCTGCTTCAGCTCAATACACAAGCTGGCATGCCACATTCATTCCTGCTGCTTCCCCAGTAGCTACCAGACGAAATGCGAATGCTGAAGCGCTGTCATTTGCTCGAAGCCAAATGATCTCGGGTGGATACGGATTGTATCCTCCAACCACCACCAGCACTACAATGACGACATCCAAAAACACAGCAGCAGCAGCTTCAACTTCCACACAATTGTTTGCCAAGAAGAAAAAGGTAGCCCCAGCAGCCGCCAAAAAGATTCAAGTCAAAATGCTCAAGCACGTTGCTGGGACTGGACAAGCCGGAGAAGTCGTCTTGGTGACACCCGCATTCTTCAACAACAAGCTTCGACCTCAGCAAGCCGCGAGGATGATTACAGACGAAGAAGTTGCGGAAGAGACCGCGGAGAAACAAATGAAAGAAGACGCTGACCGGACCAAAGCCAATGAATTGAAAGAAACATTGGACGAATTGGAATTGAAATTGGTCCGTACGGCTGGACCCGATGGTCAGTTGTTTGGTGGAGTTGGTCCGAAAGTCGTCATGAGCGAGCTCCAATCCGAAATAGCCGATGACTTTTTGAATAACAAATGGGTCAAGGTGACGGAAGTAATGGACGAGAATGGAAAGAAAATGAGAGGGGATATCAAGACTGTGGGAGAGTTTGGAGCGAGGATAAATCTATTGAGTGGTATTTCTGCAAAGATTGGAATTAAAGTCGAAGCTGAGTAGGTTATCGAAATAGAGAGTAGTAGTCTTGCATGATTAACAACAACCGCAAATTGTATCAAAGTGGTACATATAAAAATGAATGCTGCGTACTGTAGTAACGAGCGAAAGGGTACGAGTACGAGTATATATTCTAAAGTTCATCAATGATGAATCTGAGAGGTACCGCAGTAGTCTCAATTATAATACGTTCCCCAAAAGGCTTCCAGCGAACATGCAAAGAACAAAAACCTCTCGTCACCGCATGCCAAATTCGTCGAGAAAAAGCTTCTTTTTACGGCGCTGCGTGCGTGGCCTACTGGTGGGAACTCATCGAAAATAGAAGCTCTGAAGAGGGCGGTATCAAGTCTGCTGTTCCAGTAGTGTTTTTGTATGTCTCTCAATACCACACACATGTTTTAAGAACAGTGACCAAAAACAGTAACAACAGCAAGGATCCCAAGAAGACAAATACACTAAAAGAATAAGCATCCTACACATTTTTCAACAGCACAATGGGACAAAATCAAAGTTCACCTGATCTGAAGGAGATTGATGACGACATTCACAAGAAGAGACGAGAACTCCTCGAATTGAAAGAAGTAGGAAAGAGACAAGAAGAAAAGTTCTACGATGAGCTGTTTGAAGTCGAATCCGAACTTTACCAGATGAAAATGAGGCTATTCAAGAAGGGAGAGGAGAGCAAATCAATATGGAACTTTTGGGATTATGCCAAGGAGGTCCAACATACACTTCATTCGAACAAACCTCAGAGATCGAGCCGACCATCACCTGCGGTTACTACAAAACCAAGTGAGTCAAGAGCACTGGTAGCCCCGTGGTACTTTTTTAATATACATAGCCTGTTCGAAGCCATGCTTCTCAGAAGGTTGCATATTGCTATGATGCTTCAGGGCCAAAGAGATGTACAATCCAGCTCTTGGAACAGTGTCATCGTACACATATATCACATGATTCCAGGGGTCAGAGACGACAAGAAGAAGTCGCAAGATGATTTCGAAACGAAAAACGCTGAAATCCAAAAGAACATGGCTCAGGCAAAAGAAAGCTACCAAAAGCAATTGAAGCTTCAAAAAGAAGTTTTGCAACTGATGATTCAGGAAGCCAGAAAAGACAACAAGCAGCAAGTTCACCGAGAAAGTACCATCAGTTATGGCAGCGCTAGCACGAAACCACTTCCAGATGTGGTGTCCCCGCCAATCAAATCGCCGTCGGATGCATCACCAACGGATGATTCGAGCGATGCCAGTTCCTTAACATCTTCCGGTTCCTCGTCCGCCGGGGGGGAAGAGTCGTCCGTATCATCGTCGGAAGCCGAAGCACTGACGGAACGTGTATAGGCAATGAGAGATGAGGATGTACCTGCATGGTATAGAATCCTGCAACGGATTTTTATTCTCATCTACGCATTGGAATGTGGGGAGTCGACAACGTCCGATGTACAGTAGTAGACTTGAATTTCTGATTGGTTATTGTCGAGAATGTTTGAATAGGAATAGATATGGAATGTATTGAATATATTGAATATATAATATATATGCATACGGGCATACGGGGCATTGCTGTGCGGAGATCAGATCTTGATGTTGTTCTTGGGGCGCAGACCTTGTTGCGCCCTCTGAGTGATCAGGAGTGAACGCCGCTAAGCAAATGTCTAAATAGTTCATATTTTTTTTTAAAAATGTTTATATCATTATCCACCTTACAAGACACCCTCTTTTCGCTGATACCGTCGATTATTGCAAAATTGCTTGGAGATTTTAATCCTCGCATATGACTCTGTGGTTTCTTCCCATCGATCGTCTTCTCTTTGCTTCAAGAACCGCCCCCCTTGCTCTTTGATGCTGCGAATAATAGAAGAAGCCAACTCTTTCTTCTCAAGCTTTGTGGCCATATCGTATTCATCCGCAAGGTTCTTCACCAACACTCGCATCTTCACGTTACCACCATGATTTCGCTGCTTCCCAAACAATACATCTTCTGGTGCAGGATCGTCAATGATCTCGAGTGGCCCTGTGTCATTCGCAATCTTAGTACTGTCTGCCTTCATCTGCTTCATCTTGGGTCGTCGGCAATTGCGAAAGGCCTGGGCAATCTTTTCCAGGGCCTCATCGATCGGCACTGTCTCCCATGTGCCCGTCTCCTCTATTTCCTTCAAGAACCGACCCCCGGCTTCTTGAAGATCAGTCGCCACCTGAGCTGCCATTTCTCGTTTTCTAGATTTATTGGCCGTGTCATAATCCTTAGACCTACTTTCCACCAGTAGGCGAAGTACCTTGTTCCCCTCGTGATTATTTCGCTTTCTTCCAAACAAAACGTCGTTCGCAAGAGGTTCCAACAGAGAGTCTTCCGATGATAATTGAGTTCGAATCATGACGGTTTCTTCCCAATGGCACCGCTGATACCATAAAAGGTGCTTGTCAAGCTTGACTTGATTGCCAAAAGAGTCAAAGGGTAAGGTTGACTGCGGGATACCAAAGCTGGACAACAAGTACTGACACTCCAAATGACTTCCAAGATGATTCTTGAATCTGGCACGAATTTTCGCCGGTGTGATTGCCACTGTGGTTTTGGTCAAAATGTACTAGGAACAAAGGGGGAAATTAACAAGCAGTGTGTCAGCATGGATCATTTGGATCAAGCTCATTCCATATCAGACAAATTACCAAGCAAGGGCTTACCTGTGTCAAGTCGTCTGAACAAAAGTGTATTCCAGCCCAGTGAAGCGGCACGGCCTGAAAGTAGTTTTCAAAGATGATCGATATGCAGAGAATTAGTATCCCAAGAGAAAAAATTCGCGGACTCGATAAGTGTGATGTCCACTTACCATGGCTAAAGTTGCCGTCTCTTTGAACCCAGCACCGTTCATAGAATCGCGTAGAGTTCCGACAGCATACGTTATAAAGATCACACCCAACCTTTGTGCGTTTTCACTTTTGACAACACTCATGAACGAATAGAATCGAGCTCGCAGTTCGCTTTTAAGCGAATTGAAAGCTCTTAGACCAGGCAAGTATAGTAGGATCGGTCTGCCAGCTCTGTCATTCGATGGAATTTGCATACTGCCGTTTTGTAGGCATGCCTTATCATCATCACTCAAGTCGTCAATGGTAATGTCCTTAGCAAGCATATCATTACCAAAGAGATCCGCCTTGACATCAAAGAATCTGATAATTTGGGCAGCTGCTTCCTTGCTGTCATATTTCTGGGCTCTGAGGAACATCATCCGTAAATCTTTGTTCTTGACATATGCTGGGTTCATTCCTTCAGCTAGTTCCCAGCTTGTACCTGCTTTCATAGAACCCAAGTGGGCGTCAAGCTCATTCAAACATACTGCTATTCGTTCCGGCATTTCGGGTTCTGTGGAAGATACTCCGTGGATCTCTTCTTGAACGTTCTGCCTCTCCTGAAAACTTAACTCATGCATAGACTTGGCAATGTCAGCATCCAATTCATTCTTCACCATGAGTGCATCCTTCTGATGCTGCTTGGGTAGAGCCACTGGTACTGCGGCGTTGAACTGACTCCCAAAAGGAGTCCATCCAAAGCAACCACCGGCGGAGCTACCATAGTCTACATTGAAGCTACTCATCGTGCTAACACCCATCTGCGTTGTTATACCTGCGAAATCGAATTATATTGTGCTATTATACTGTAAGATGCGAGATGATGCATGCGCGATGACTTTTTCCGACGACTCGACTCCTCAGATAATCCGAGTTTCCAATTGCAGAGAACCCCATAAATAATAATAACCGCGTGCGGTGGGTTATTATTGATCACGCGCCACCCTCAATACGGTACTGTAAGAAGTCATGGCAGTATATATATGTACCGATAGGAGCCCAACCGATTTACATATTTGAAGGAGGATCACAATAAAAATAAACTACACGAAGAGTATAGTATGAATCATATTGGCTTGGTATTTTAATAAAAATGTGCATGTGTTCTGGTTCGTACTATCACTCATTACAACATAGTCTTTCCTTGCACCTAACAAGTACATGGCCATCTGACACTTGATTCCAACATTTTTTCTGTTCGAGCTATGCCATTTCAGAACTACTAGCAGTGCTGCCTATATTATATAGCTCGTCGTTCATCGGTTTTCTTTTCCCACTTCTACGCGGATGATTACTTCTTGTGCATTAGATCATCAATTCAGTCAGAATTTTCATTGGCATTATAGCTGTGTCCTTTTACATGATGCAACCCCTCGGATGCTGAGCTAAAAGCACACATGCCTAGCAGCAGTCCGTCTGCAAGTTGAAAAGCGCTTGATGCCCTGACCAAATTGAACGCTACAAGATTATTGAAGGAGCGTTTAGTTTGTTCAGGGAATGCATGGTTAGTCGAGAGGGCACATACTATGGAATTTATTAGAACAGACCGACGTACCGGACATGAATGAAAAAATATAAAGAGCCATCACATTGATTGGCCCTGTAACCATTTTCTTTGCCACCTCGTTGTCTTCCACCGAAATTGACGTGACCAGAGCACCCCCCAGAAGTGTCAGCTTTGCAAGCTGGATCAGTTTTGGGACAATTAGTAACGTTCTACCACCTCCAAAAAACACCTCATTCAGAACTCCTCCAACAAGCACTGCCTTTCTGATAGCAACCGTCAAAAGGCAAATGAAATTAGGATAGGTCATGTCCTTTGGAGGGCGACACATGGTCGTTTGAACGGCACCTTTGCACAAACGAAGCGTTTCTGGAAGAAATGACTTGTTGCCATCGGCACACAGACCCGAAAGATAGCCCTTTGTCGCTAGGAGGAGCGTGCCTGCACTCGAAAATAAGCTCAATAAGCTAAGCATACCACCAAGCTTGCATAGATTTGGAACGAAAGTAAAAGTACACAAAGACACCATTGCGTAAAGAAAGAGTAGCCCATTCAGTCTCTTGCCTGTATCAAACCCGAGATACTCTTTCCATGCCAAATTTCCTAGGAGGTATGTAATCCCAGCTGCCATGATTGACCCTCCAACAGAGTTGAGGCTTCCTATCGTCAATCCATATTTCTTGATTTCCAACGCAACTTGACCACAGTATATCATGGACGTTCCGTGGTACATCTTTGTGAGAGCAAGTTGGTCACGATGCAAAGTTATTTCTGACGAGGATTCTTCGTTCTTCGGATGCACTTGAAATGATGCGCTACGATGGGCCCGTCGGCACAATTTTGCCACACTTTCAGTTTGAAAGAAGGGATCTTGCCACAATGCACATACGTGTTGCCCTGAGTGTCGAACATTATGGATAAAGGATGAAGTTTTGGGAATCTGCAGAATGAGCAGAAAGGAAAACAGTTGTCTCCTTGCCAACGTGACAAACATTCTTCGATTTATCGGAGAACAGACTTTTCCGGCAAGACCAAACTGTTTTTTGCTAGGGAGCAGAAGCACTAACGAAGATGACAGTAGCACTGAAAGTTCTACTCCCTATATTGTCCTCTCTTATTGGAGTTTTGTTGGGACGATGCGATGATCGAGTTTCGTTGATGCGTTCGTGACGCGCCGTGACTTGTTTTAATCGAAACGTCACGGAACCAAAGAAACCGTGCGTAATATACAGTATTATGCCAAACGAAACAACACCGAACGGAGCGGAAGTTTGCAAATGAAAAACGAAATGAAACCACACGTCCGCAAAAAAGGTAAGCCTGCTATGAATACCTATCATATTGGTAGGTATTGCCGGGGGGTTTAGAGGGGATACACCCCATGACAGTGGGCCCGAAAACAACAGCTTACGAGACACCAGATAATATTCGACTGACTGACTCGTTCGAGTAGAATACATCTGAAGGCGCTGTATCATCATAGTAGGTATTTTGAAATAATTTCGTAGCTATTCTCTATTGATTTATTTTTTATTAACTGTATGTGTATGTAATGATGATGATGATGTAAAAAATTGTTTCGGCCCCATTTGTTGACAAGTTACTCACGAACAGCAACTACGTCAACTTGGAATTCCGGCGAGTCTTCCGAGCTGTGGGCTTGTAGGTCTTCCCCAACGGAATTACTGTCGGCAGTCGTTACCGTCGCTATCGAGTTTGATCTCTTCATGGGAGGAGAGTATTGACGCGATTCGGTGCGGGCACTGTTCGTTCTGATGGAGTCGTCTCGTTTCTCCAATTCATACTCCCCTGAATGATAATCTTCAAATGAGAATCTCATGGGAGTGCTCGAAGTGTAGGAAAAGAGTCGAGATCGGCCGAAGCGATTCACAGAGTCTTGACGAATCTCCGTCATGCTTTCCCGAGAAGGAATAGAGTATATGCTTGTAGGAGAAGAAACACTGCACGACCCAATTGGTCGTGCTTGTTCCAAGAAGATATGTTTCTGCTGCTGAACCACAGCAGCGTCTTGTTCGTAGTCATCTGTGAACCCTGCTCCACCGCATTGAAACAGTTGTAGGAAGGATTCTAGGATGCAATTGTTGGAAGTCATGGTTGTTGTTGTTATTGTTGTTGTTGGAAGTGCAATGTGTGATAGTGTTATCTCGATTGGCTTCTTGTTTTGATTTGTGAGAAACTCAAAATAGAAGGTTTTTGTGTTGTCGGAGGGAACATCCTTGTGATTCTGCACGATTGATCTCTAGGTGACTTTACGTAAGACAGTTTCATAGATAGGGTTTTCCAGTTGAATAGCCGTTACAATTTATGTTCGTTATCGATTTGTTTATATATCTAAAACCGACCGCACCTCTAAATCGAACGAATCATCACGTGGACTCGATGAAATTGGATGCAAACATCTTATCAAAATGGCGCACCTCCGAAGTGCTGCCGAAACTCACATACTTTGATGAGAAGAGAAATGAAAGTGACGAGACGATTCAAAGGTAGACAAGAATAAAACATATGTCATTACTGTTTAGTCGTTTTTGGTTTTGCACTCTTCTTGCGACCGAACCAACTTGATTTGCTCTTTTTCGATTGCTTCTTGCCCTTGCTATTGGTAGTTCTAAAAATCGTGTGAATCTTTTGGGAAAATTCAAACCCTATCCCTGAAGCCACTTCGTGGATTTCTTCCGATGCTTGCCCCGGTCGTACTTCATATCCTTCCTCGATCTTTGGACTTTCTGGAACCGCTTTGTCGTCTGCAGTTTGTGATAGGGATCCAGCGGACGACGCGGGTGTTGTTGCTGGCGTGTCGTTTTCGCCAACACCATCCTTGTTACTACCTGTGCTCACCTTGTTACTAGGAGTGGTGGCTGCAGCTTCAACAGGCAGCTCGTTCGAAATAGAAGAAACTTGGTTGTTTTGCTCATCATGGGAAATTGCCTTTTGAATATACGGTTCTCCGCCAACATAAGAATGACAGGTTTCAAAGCCACGGTCTACTGCGGGCTCGGCCCAAATCTCCTTTGGACTCTTATGATATTGTTTCTTTATTTGCGGGAAATTCCCAAATGTAAATTGATAGACATCTTGCATCATTGCTGAGAACGCCGCAAGTTCGGACTGTTGCTCGTCCTCCTTTTCTTGGAGTGGTTTCTCCACGATCTCAATCTTCGTCGCGGGCGCTGGGACACTCGTGGCCCCTATAGCTCGAGTCGCTTGAGTTTGAGAAGGCTCGAGTTCTGGTCTGGGTTCAGTATGAGAAGGTCTAGATTCAGTGCTTGCCTCCACTGTGGTTGTAACGGATGGAGAAGTCGGTACTTCTGGTTCGAAGATAGAGGCTGCTTCAGTCTTGGCCTTGTCGGTGGTAACTCGTGGCTTCCTTAAGGGGCTTGTCGCTTTGGTAGCCGTTTCTTGCTTGGAGGTTGATCTCACAAGGTTTTTTTCGGCTTCTTTGGGCGCCACGGTATTCTTCTTTACACCCGAGTTCTTGCGCCCAGAGAAACCACCAAATCTGAAAGGCTTGTTCTTCTTTCGCACGGCAGTCGCCTTTGGATGCACCTTTCCTGGCTCTTGGTCCTCCTCCGGCTTCTCGAAGCCTTTCCCAGCAAATCTTTCAAGAAGAACCATCGGCTCAATGGTTTGTGAATCATTTTGATTCTCCATTGTATCGTCTACATCAAAATCAACCGATTCCTCAATGGCAACAGTTGTCGCCGGTGGGTCTTCTTCTGTAGTCCTTACGGAGAACTCGGTCTCTATGATCTCGGTAGACATAACATGCTCATCAAAGTCAGCCTGGTCAATTGGATCTGTTGATTCGAAATATTGATTGACTTCTTGAGTGACTTCTTGATTGACTTCTTCTTGAGTGACTTCTTGCGCGGCTTCGTCTTGAGTGACTTCTTGAGTAAAGTTCGGATCCTCCTTATCTGAAAAATCATCCATATCGTAATCGTCGCTGTCAACATCGTCTTCGTCAACTTCGCTCTCGTCGAGGTCGTCCCAAAACATTTGTTTCAAACTCATGCCTGCAAATAGCCCGACCTCCTCGTGAGCTTCCATGGCACCAGAGCCCACATCGAATTTATCGAATTTAAAACTGGCATCCCGGTTTGTAGACCCGGTCTTGCTACTCGCATCTCTACTCGATGGCTGGGAAATCTCAGTTTTCTCTTCCTTCTTCTCTTCTTGAGAGGATGGAATCACAGTAGACGTCTTGGTTGGGAGTTCTTGCTGCTGCTGCTGCTGCTCCGTAAAACCATCCTCACCAGAGGAGGTGCTGTAGTCACTGCGGGATGAAGAAGATTCATCCAGGTCTCCGACCAAGCCCTCGTCGCCGGAGTCGTCGAGTCCGAAAAATCCAATATTATCTTCATCGGCGGTATCATCATCCGTCACGTGCTCATTGTATTCCTCGACTAGCTCGTCGATTTCGTCCATTGCTTTCTGCTTATCTTCTGATACTTCCAAACCGGGTATTCCGGAGGCGACCGAATAGAGATCCGAGAAGAAACTAGCTTGAAATGTCTCTTCTAGTTCCGCAGTCTCCTTAGAATCGAACAGATCTTGTGGGACTGCATCTTCTTGAACTGGCCCCTCATCAGTATCCGAAAAGGAACTTTCCATAGTTTCATTCAAAGGCTCCGTAACAGGTTCTTTTTCAGGTATCTTCTCTTCCTCAGCTTCTTCCTGTTGGGTTCGAATTAAAAGCTCGGGTTTGAATATGTCCTCTCTCGCTTGTCCTTCCGCTCGCGGCGGCGTTGTTTTGTATGGTTGATACGGATTGTGCCGTTCATTCTCCATTAACCAATCCGCTTCTTCATCAGCTACAATTCCATCCTTCAGAGCATCAACGATTTTCACACTCTGCCCATGATAGTTCTCTGACGATTTATAGTAGCCCTTGTTCGACTTCTTCTTCGTCTTGAAAAAGGATTTCATTGTTGTTGAGTTTCTGTGGCACCAATGGATGAAATTTATGAATTATGAGAGTCTGTGCTGAAAGTAAGATATCTTCAGAGGCACTTCAGCTTTGAATGTTCACGGAACGCAACTAAGGAATAGATCGTAGATGCCACGCTTTTAAGCCTGAATGGTAGCTTCGCTTCTCAGTAGTAGTGTTGGTGGGGCTAATACAACCTTCACAGTTTCAACAAAGCCGACGTCAGTATGCAGTGTTGAGAAGTTTCGATCGTGTAAGGCTGGTACAACAATCTGCAAATCGGCGAACCTTTTCGGCCATTGGTATCATTTTCACCCCATCACCGTTGAAAATATTCCAATCGTCTATAAGTAATTTTGTTTCTTGTCAAGCATTGGTATTTTCCCGCCCTATTATTCACTATATGTGGCTCTTTTTCTATGCATGCGCGCGTCCACGAAATTTGCAGTCGAAAGGGTCGGCTGATGAGGTTCAGATAAAGTATGATACTGTACTGTACTGTAAGTCAAGCGCTTTTGCATGCAAGTTCAATATCTGCGGGACGTCGCGGATGCGCTATTGACAGAGGTTCAATAAATCTGCGTTTCCCCCAGCAAAGGAGTTGTCTAATACTGATTGTGATCTTTGTTATTGCATTGTATACTATATTGCGACTGATTCAGCAAGAAAATACAATATCAGCAGGACATGTCGGATACCCTTCTTGCAACCTTGCTCATATACTGTTCCTCTGCTTGCATTTGTTCCTCCAAAAGTCGATTCAAGTATGCTTCATGGTCGTCGTTACTTCCATCACCACCAAAATCCAGATGTTGTAAAAGTTGACTTAGCGATTCCCTATCTTCGACATTGCTCGCTGATGCCGAACATAACTCTTCCTTCAGCGATTCTCGTTCTCGGTACTTCCGATCTTCCTCTTTTGCTAGCTGATCTAAATACTCTTGCAGTTGGTCGTCGTCCATGTAGTCATCCGCAGCAGGCATGGCTTCAAATTCTGTCCCATCAAATGAAACCAAGTCGGATGACATGGTCACTGCGGACATACAGCGTCTCACTCCCCGTTTTGGCACCGAAATATTTTGCGGGCGCTGTCGGGGACGGCGATTGCTACTAGTGGCGACGCCCTCATTAGTGTTGACAATCGCACCAATATGAATCATATTGATGTTGGCACTAGGAGAAGGAACAGCTTCAACTTGCTGGCGTGCCCTTTGTGGTGGTGAAGGTAGTTGGTGGTACATCTGTTGAAGCTGCACTTCCTCTCCTTGTGGCGTTTGATGGCTTTGGGGATGTCGATATCGATCGTCATCGCCAATGCGATCATCAGTCACGCGGCTACTATCCAATAGTTGGCCAACGGCGATCCCATGGCGATTTAGGTTTGACACAGTTGGATACAAGTCCGTCATGGGCATATCCACGATTGCAGAAGAACGAGTAGGCATCTGGGGCCGATCATCAATGTCTTCTTCTTGGCGTCGACGGCTATCAACACTGATTCGACGCGGTTTCCGAGTCGTCGTTGAAGGCCATTCTTGTGTCTGCTGTGCATTGTGCATTCTAAGGCGGTAGCTTATGCAATGCAATCAATCAAGGGTAATATCTCTCGCTTGCTCTGTTGTTTATGTTTCGAGTCTCCTTCCACACGAATACAACTCGCTGGATTGTTGTGCACATGAAAATGTTTCGTGCATTTTCTCAATCTAGTCAGGAAAGTTGTGTGTCACATTACCCAGTAGTCACGTCTTCGAGCGAAAAATGAGCGTCTCTACCATGTCTCACCCTTAAGTCGAAATTTCCAACCATATGTACACGTACTCGTGTCAAAAATTTAACCTGATACGTTTCGCTCTTTTTGAATCAATCCAAGACTAATATAAACCACCGACCGAAGCATACTTCCACAGCGTTGGGTTGTAATAAATGTTACAACATAGCTTGCAGTATCCATCTCAATCACTGCCACTCAACACCAAAGCAGCCCCTGCGAAATTTCTGCTGGTGGTAGCCTTGCCATTGTGAGAAGAGGTAGTTTCCTTGTAGACTGTGTAAACTTTGACGCCACCATGATGTCTCGTTGGTTCTGATTTCATGTAGCGATAGAATTCTTGCAGGACTTGATTTTCACTCTCGCCATCTGATTCGGTAGGTCTGCTGGGGAGGTCAAAATCTTCGTCGTCATCAAAAGTGCCAATGGAGCGATCACTCCCAACCGAACCGGCATCGATGCTTCCCAAGAAGGAAACTCCGCTGGAGATGGAGCTCATATTCTGACTATCCAACGAACGGTCCGCGGAAGTCCCTCGTTTCGATTTCGGCTCACGAATCGGAGATAGGAGAGTATTGAGGTCGTTTAGCTCGTCTTCAGACAAAGAGGACTCTGGGTCTTCTTCAGAGGATTTCCTGTTCTTTTTCTCTTTTTCCTTTTGCAGTCTTAGACTTTCTTGCTTTTTCATACCCCGTCGAGGTTTACGCTCTGATGCATCCTCACCAGCGCTTCTTTCTAACTGCTTCAGTAATGATCTCCTTTTCGACTTCTTTGAACCAGATGACGTCGCACTCATGGAACTATCGTTGCGTTTCAAAGACGGTCTCCTCTTCGACATTGAACCAGATGATGCTGCACTCATGGAACTGTCGCCGCGATTCAAAGATGGCCTCTTCTTTTTTGTCGAGGAGTCCTGTCGTTTCAAAGATGATCGTTTCTTCGCCGAACCGCCGCTACCGAGACTGCGCTGACTGTTGCTGAGCGAGCTCCTCTTCTTCTTTTTCTTCTTTTCTGAACCTTCAGCAACGCTTTCGAGATCCATACTAGTACTGCTGTCGTGCATACCATTTTTTTTCGTTCGTCGCTTTGGTTTTGTAGGCGACTCGCCAACATCCTTATCTCCCTTCTTTCCCCTTCGAGGTGGTCTCATAAGATTCCTCATCGATCCCGAGGTCGTGCGCATGAGATTTCTCTTCAGTTTTCGCTCCGATTTGTCAAGATCTTCCTCAGCAGCCGTCCTCATATGCTCCAGGTCCGCTGACTTTGTTGGTTTCAGTTTTGTTTTCACTGGCACTTGCGCCATGTCAGATGTTTCGTTGTCAAGACTTGCAAGAACCTTGGAGCGGTTTTTCTTGTTGCCCTTCTTCAACGAATTGGTACGGACAAGACTTCTCGGCGGTATTTTTGGTACGAAGACCGATGGGCTGATGGATTTGTTGACTTCTTTATCTTCTGTTGATTTCGGGCTCGCTATTGGTGACAATGTTGGAGCTGTTGTTTTCTTTGGCGATCTTGTCGGACTTTCGATTGATTTGAGAATTTTATCGAGTTTCGATTTGTCTTTTCGCCGCGTATCCATTGAATAGGATCGTTGAATGGGGCTCACGAGCGGCTTGGGTGACGATTTTTTGTTCTCTTTTGTTATGGCGCTTTTATTGGTCTTTTGTAGTGGAGAAAGCGGAACGGTGGTTGGTGGTGGACTGTCGATGGAATCGTGAGTTGACAGTGTGGATTCAGTTGTGGCGGTTCGAGCAGATGCATCCTGCATAGCAGCCGAGCTCTTGAGATCATCTTCGATGGAGCTCTTGGAATCCACAGTCGTGATCTTTTCAGGGTCCAGTTCATTTTCGATTTTGTCCTCGGTCTCAGGCTTACTTTCTGATTTTATTGGTGGCATAGTTTGCATCACCGGATTAGTTGCCTCAGCCTTTGGTTCCAGTTTTGGTTCCTCGTGTAATGGCTTGGCCTCAGATTCAACAGGGTCGCTTGTATTGGATGGTGGAGAATCAACCTTGGCTGTCGAGTCAGTCAATTGGTGCTCTCGTTTTGCCTTGAGTTGGTGCTCCCTCAGTTCACCTAAATTGGTAGCAAAATTCTTGATTTTTATCGCATCAACCTCCTTGTTCCATGGTGTTGGCTCCACATCAGGCACAGCCCAATCCTCCTCCTCAAGCCCGCACTCAATCATGAAGGCACTGTGTCGAAAGTCACCGATCTCTTCTTCAGTATAAAAAACCTCGTCCATCTCGTCCCATGTCATCTTCTCAAATTCATAGACTGCTGTCGTCGTTTCTTCTGTGAAACGCAAGCCCATCTTAATATTTTATTTTGTTTACCCTTCTACCCTATTATGTTTCCTTATGCGTTAGCTGATGATTGCATTTGTTTGTTAGTGG